TACCATCGGAAAGGAGCTTGTGGACAGTGTCGTTGATCGCGTCCGCCGGGTGGCTGGTAAGAACAATGGACCGACCATATGATAGGCCTATGCTGATCTTGCCAGACAACTGTTCCTCGCTGCAGGGTTTCTTGGTCTTCCACTCGTTCGGCGGTGGTACCGGTTCTGGTTTCGGTGCTCTATTGCTGGAGCGCCTCTCCACCGACTACGGCAAGAAGGCCAAGCTAGAGTTCGCCGTTTACCCTTCCCCCCGTGTCTCGACTGCTGTTGTTGAGCCCTATAACGCTGTGCTGTCTACCCACAGCACGATTGAGAACGCCGACTGCACCTTCCTTGTTGACAACGAGGCAGTCTATGACATCTGCCGTCGCAACCTGGATATCCCCCGCCCAAGCTATGAGCATCTGAACCGTCTGATTGCTCAGGTTGTCAGCTCCATCACCTCCAGTCTGCGTTTCGATGGCGCCCTCAACGTCGACTTGACTGAATTCCAGACCAACTTGGTGCCCTTCCCTCGTATCCACTACCCGTTGATCTCCTATGCCCCCGTTGTGTCCAGCAACCGCAGCTCCCATGAAAGCTTCAAGGTGCAAGATCTCACCTTCCAGTGTATGGACCCCTACTGTTTCCCCTAAGTACCTTTGGTGGCATGGAGGGACTGACAACTACTTCTAGGCTTCGAGCCGAACAACCAGATGGTTGTCTGTGATCCTCGTAACGGAAAGTACATGGCTGTAGCTTTGCTGTATCGCGGGGACGTTGTGCCCCGTGATTGCACCCAGGCTATCGCCTCCGTCAAGGCCAAGGCTTCCTTCAACCTGGTCGAATGGTGTCCTACTGGATTCAAGCTGGGTATTAACTACCAGAAGCCCGTGCGCGTTCCCAACAGCGAACTCGCCCCCGTCGATCGTTCCGTCAGCATGCTCTCCAACACCACCTCCATCTCCGAGGCCTGGAGCCGTCTCGACCACAAGTTCGACCTCATGTACTCCAAGCGCGCCTTCGTCCACTGGTATGTCGGCGAGGGTATGGAGGAGGGAGAGTTCTCCGAGGCCCGTGAGGACCTCGCTGCGCTGGAGAAGGATTACGAAGAGGTTGCCAACGATGGCGAGCCATTGGAGGAGGAAGAGCCTGAATACTGATCGGCTTGCAACTCGGCGCCTGCTCTGCTTGTCGGTTTGATTCTTGGCTTGTCTACTTTGTGCCAAAATTGTATCTCGTCCTTGTGCTTGCGACACCCCCTTCTGTTTTCTTGTTTCCCTAGCGTTCGTTCCATTTCTCACCCTTGTCCGGTAGCCAGTCGGTAGAACATGGCGCGTAAAATACGAATACACATCTAATTTCCTGTGAGGGATCCCATTCCCAGTCCATTATACATCGGCGCGCAAGGAGAACACCGGGTAATGCATTAGTCTATACTGTACAATCTAATCAATATCCAACGAGGCGGGGATTACTCCGCCGCCTCTTCAAGCTCGCGGAGATAATGCAGCGACTTCTCATAGGTCCACATCGTCACGGCACTGGCCGGTGCAGCCTTGAAGAGACTCACCGTCAAACCGCGGTAGAGCCCTCGCACCCCCTGTGTCCGCACGATCATGGCCATGGTGTTGAACACCCCCTGGTACTCCGGGATATTCCGATGCACATACTTGGAGCGTGTCGGGCCCTGCACCTGCAGCCTCTTCCGCACCAGGTCCAACGGAAAAACCCCCGTCTTGGCCAACACGCTGGCCACCACTCCCGCTGCGGCATCCCCCGATCCAAACGGCAGATCATGCAATCCAGACATCACCGGCCGCAAGGACTCATACGTCGCAAAAAATAATCCCATATAGGGCACAATCTGCCCGACGGCCGCAGTACATCCCCGAAAGAACCCCCTAGGACCCTCATTCTGCGCTATATCGCGCACCGATGCGTAGAGTGAGGCATACACACGCTCTGTGCCCTGTGCTGCAAACCGTGTGCGCAGTAAATCAAGCGGGTACGTCGACGCCGTGGCTAACCCGCCTGCCGTGGCACCTGCGACGAAGGATTCAGCCGGCGGAGGGAGTCGGTAAGGGTCTAGTTGCGATAGGGCTTGCGTGGTGGTTCGGTAGGCAGCGAATTGGATGGCGCCGTAACAAACGTACATTAATTCTGCGGGGATATTGCCTTTCCATAATCCCTGTTTTTGGAGTTAGACTGTAGAAAGTATTTGCCGGGTTGTATGTAGTTGGTTGGTTTGCGCATAAGACGTACTGTTATCCCTTCTTCGCGGACTATAGAGCGGATCGTGGGGAGCGTGCCTTTGTAGACGGGGCCTTTTATGTTCTGGTGTGAGGTTGGGTCGGAGAGGGAGTGGATTTGGAGCTGGAGACGGATTTTGACGACGTCGAGGGGAGCGACGCAGAATCTTGATCATTTGACTTAAATGTTAGTAGAGTTGAGTTTGAGGTTTTTGGTGTTGAGAGAGACAGGGGATATACCGGGAGACCAGGCCTGCAATCCCGCCTGCGAGAACGACTTGTCGTCGCGTGCCCTGTTCATTCACATCGCGGTTTAGTACTAGAGTGTAGGAAGGAAAAAGCCAAGACGATTGATTGACATGGACTTACCTCATCCTTGAGGTGTTCTCCCCCGGCAGACATGCATGTGATTGATTATGGAACACGGGGATCTGGAACGTTTGGCGCCGGGTAAATGGATGGACGATGTACTTTTTCTTTTTTTTTTTTTGTTTGTTTTCCGTTTTCGGGTGGATATTTATTGAGCTAGGGAACAATGGGGATTTATAAAAGTTCAATGGGTTGGATAGTTCATGGGAAATTTTGCCATTAAGTCAGTGATACGTAAAGAGGTTCTTAGGTAACGAGCAATGCATTGGATTGGCTCTTTTTGTTCCTGGTTACTAACAGTTATCGATTGCGATCTATTCTAAGAAATTTGCCCTTCAAAAAAGAAAATGAAAAAGACCAGAGGCCAATGTTTCAATACCTTATCGATACGATGGTAAATAACCAGGACGGTATTGTACAGCTGTTTGCCTTTTACTCCGCACTTTTATGGTTAAAAAGGAAACATCACGCTAATCCTGAACCGGCTTGGTGCTTGGACCTCGGCTTTTTCCCAAAACCTTCATATGGGGTGATGTTCTCTCGAACATCCCCTCGTTTCCCGTCTTCCTTATATCTTTCTGCGTTTTGTGCCCTTGGACGTTGCCATTGACCCAGTATGGTTCGTCAGCTGGCAACATTTCTTCGATCCTCTCGGGCTGCTGTGCCCTCAGCTCGCCCTCTCTATTCTCGAGGTTACTCCGCTGCGAGCGGCGGCGCCGAAGATGCTGCCTCCCGCGGACCGAACTCGACAAGAGTTCCCGAAGGGGATCCTATCCGAAGTTTAGTAGAGCCTCCAGGGTCTCAAACTCGCAGTAGCCAGCCCTCTGCCACCTCAATCGGGCGTCAAGGCATCAGAATCCACACCGGGAAGGGGAATATCTCGGCCATGCACTATCTGCTGCGTGACGGCTGCAAATGCCCCCAGTGCGTAGACCAACACTCGAAGCAGCGCAATTTCCGCATGTCCGACATTCCAGCGGACATCAAACCGCGCTCCGCCGACTGGGACGGAAGCGTACTGAAAGTCAAATGGGAGAACGACATCCCCGGGTTCGACGAGTCGCACACCTCCACATACACGCTCAATCAGCTACGCAACCCCAGTGCAAACTACTCCTACCACAGCACCGGCCGCAAGAGAAAGCGTCTGCTGTGGCACAACTGGTTCCAGCACCGCTTCGTCTCCTACGAAGAGTACATGCACGACGACAAAGCCTTTTCCAGCGCCATGCGCGTCCTCGCCCAGACCGGCCTCCTCTTCGTCAAGGACGTCCCGGAATCCCGCGCCGAGGTCGAGAAGATCGCAACCCGCATGGGTCCCCTCCGGAATACCTTCTACGGCGCCACATGGGACGTCCGCACCGTCCCCGAGGCCAAGAACGTCGCCTACACGAGCCAGTTCCTGGGCTTCCACATGGATCTGATGTACATGAACGAGCCGCCGGGCTTCCAGCTCCTACACTGTCTCCAGAACTCGTGCGATGGCGGTGAGTCGCTGTTCGCGGACTCCTTCGCCGTCGCCAGACAGCTTAGCCTTGATGACCCGGAGGCTTTCAAGGCCTTGTGCAACTTCCGACTCTCGTACGAGTATAACCATGAGAATGATATTTATACGAACGATTGGCCCGTGTTTCAGACATATGTGGACGAGTACACGCAGCAGACGAGGCTGATGCACGCCAATTACTCCCCGCCCTTCCAGGCGCCGATGCACGGCCAGCGCCGTCCGTTCAACCGCACCGTGACCGAGATGCGGGCCCTGGATAAATTCGCCAAGATGCTGGAGGACGAGCAGTATATCTACGAGCTGAAGCTGAACCCAGGCGAGTGTGTTATTTTCGAGAATCGCCGGGTGTTGCACGCCCGGAAGCAGTTCAACACCGCTACTGGCCAGCGCTGGCTCGCTGGTGCCTATGTCGATGAGGACGCCGTCTTGTCCAAGTTCGCGACATCGGCCCGTAAACACCCGCACATGTGGCGTGACAGCCCGAACAAACCACACCGGAAACAGGCTGAGGGAGGGAGTCATGATGGGCCTGAATTGAACTATGTAGATATGACGAAGAACGTGACGTGTTAAGGCATTGGCCACGAGGCTACTGGTTTTATGCAAAAGGCCCGCCCATACAAACATAGAGGTATACAGCGGTTCAACGCATGTCAGAGGAGCTTCGATTAGCCCCTGTACATAAGCATAGCGTGATATTTATTCATTTGTTTTTTGGGCCTCTGTAATTAAATGAATGAACCAAAAGAACGAAACATGCAAGAAGATATAGTGCTGGAACACTGAACATAGAGAAAACGTAATGGCATCGCTGTCCTATAATCTAACAAATCGAGTTTGCAAGGAGGTAGAAAACAAGACATAAAGAAAACTATTTCCCGTATTCTATACGCTCAAGCGGCAGCAGGAGCCTTGTTAACAGAGAAGTCACGCAGGAAATCAGGATCATTGTCGAGCTCCTCCTTGACCTGTTCACCGATTAGCACAAGAAACATTCAACCTCTGCACGAAAATACAGAGAGAGAGAAAGAAATAAGAAACTCACAATATCCAACCCTCCAACCAACTCCCCACTAACCCACAACTGCGGGAACGTAGGCCAATCCGCAAACTCCTTCAACCCCTGCCTCACATCCTCATCGGCCAAGATATTAAAGAACCCATACTTAACGCTCCTCTCGCGCAGAATCCCCACAAGCTGCCGGCTAAACCCACACTGCGGCGCACTCGGCGTCCCCTTCATAAACAGCATCACCGGCGCCGCCTTGACCAACTCCCCGAGCCGCGCAAACAGCGCCTCCTTCGACTGCTCCGGCGTAAGCCCATCCCCGTTCGCAGCGCCAGCCGGCGGCTGGGTAGCCGTCGCGGGACCGGTCTCGCGGGGCACTGCGGTCAGCGGTGGGGGGGATTGTGGCCGGGGCGCCGGCGGAGGCCTTCGAGCCGGCGTGGCGTTCGACGGCGTCACGGACGCGGGTGGCTTCGCTACCGGAGATGGATTCGAGGACTTCGCCGTTGCGGGTGAGGACAACGAAGGGGACGGCGGTGACGTCGTAGTCTTCGGAGATGTCGGGGAGTTCTTCGGCGTCGATGCTGATGAAGGCGGTTGTTGGGGGCGTGGTGGCGGGGTATTGGGATGCGAGGGCGGAGAGCACGGCGCGCATTTGCGCGCAGGGCGCGGCCCAGGGGGCGTGGAAGTAGAGGATCGAGAGGGTTGTCGGGGGCAGGGACGTGATATAGGAGGTGAATTCGGCCTCGGACGGGATTTCAATTAGGGTTGACATCTTGAAACTTTGCGTGCCTTGACTCCTCTGCGGGGTTTGGGAAGACACGGGCTTTGGAACTTGTGGCTGCGGCCGGTGGGAAATCTCGGTGATGGGTGCGCTGAGTTTTGTGAGCTTGGTTGAATCTGGGGACCTTTGGGGATCAGATTGAAGGGCGGACAGTCAAGTCGACTACTTGCGATGCGCTTCACCGGGTGTTTTATCGTTGTGAGGAGAAGGGAAAGAGGGAAGAAGATCGGAGTGAGGCGAAATTTTGGCCGCTTATCAGATCGAACGAGGGACGCAATCGGCCGGCGCTTGCGATGACTCGCTTTCTGTTTGGTGCCGGTGGGGCTCGCTTCCGATGACACCATCGTTTTGGCCCCGGTCGGGTTTAGTCGGGTTGCTGTTGGCGACTTCTGTAGTACTGTCCATACTACTACTGGTGGAACTCGTAGGATGATAAGATCGTCTTCAATCGTTGCAAAGTAGCACATAACTACTGGGAGAAGTGCTTGGAGAAGGTATATAAATACATGTACATACATAAACAGCCAAGCTGGTAACATCTTTTGAATTGAGTTGAGAACAAAGAGGGCTTTAGCTATAAATTCTTACCTGTTATGGTGTGACCAGATTACAACCTCTGATAGCTCTTGCATCTGGTATATTCTAGCAAAGACAGATATTTTCACCCGTAGCACCACCGTTTTATGCTCTTATCGAGGTTGTATAGATCAATACTATGCATAATGCATTAGTTACTGTTATGACTGAGTCATCAATGCATGTCGATCTGCTATCAGCACGTGATACAAAAAGTCGATTGATAAATCCGATCCGGCAGTTATCAAGCTCCAAAGAGCGATCATAGCCCAGGCCATTCTCTGGCCAAGGTAATTTAAAACTTTGCCATACGGAACGACACCGCTGGTCAGAGTTTCTACATAACTGCAGTACTCGCAACGGACATTGAAGATCGACCCCCTTTCGCCTCTAGCGGATTCAACATGGCAGGCATGAAGAAGCGCAAGCGCGCTGAAGCCGGTTACTCAGACGACGAACCCCCGGTCAATGACACGTCAAATGCCAGTAATGGCTTTGGTGTGGCGCAGACACTGTCTTTGCTCCGTGACTCCAAGCCTTCTGAAGAAACTGAATCTACTACAGCTATGCAATTGGACGATACACCAAAGCCCAAGAGCGATGTGCCGGCACAAAGACCTTCGAAGAAGAAGCGCGTCGACGGGGAGAAGACAAAATATCCAGTCCTTACCTACGTCGATGGGCGACTACAATCTTCCATTCGGATCGCAGACTTGCAGGGCCTTTTGCTCTACTGTTTCGCGGATGGCATTGCGCCGCAGTGGATTTCCGTCAAGCACTCGGGCCATGTGAGGAAGGTAGTGGCATTGATGGTGCCGGGTCTGGAGATTGGCATGTTTGACGGGACAGTTCCGTTGCAACCACCTACGGAGGAGAGCTCGCAAACGAATCAGAATGACACTGCAAGTGCCGAGGGGCAAGAGGAGGACCCTAAAACGACCGAGTTTAATCGTTGGAAACAGGGGCTGCCGCTCGAAGACCGATCGCATCGGTTTAACCCTCGCCCTTTGTCTCGCGATGGACTTCCAGATTCATTACAGCCGCTGGCAGATATGTTTCCTCATGTTTGGCCGGTCAGGGCGCCCGGAGATTCGAAGTATAACAAAGTTCACTCGCCGCTCCAAGCAATCTTGTTGTCTGCGCTTCCCAAGAACAAGGAGGATAGTCAAAAGAAGGGTCCCAAACAGGCACGGATGGATAAGAGTTTCGTTCCCAAGCGGACTCCGATAACGACATTCATCAGTTCTCTCGAGGACCTCCGTGAAAACGAGTATGCTCTACATCCGGCACTTTTCACGAAGGAAAATGAGAAATCCGATCTGCTGCAAAGCCGCAAACGAGCTGGCCAGGATGCTGAGGCCGGGTGGGTCGATACCCACGTCGTAAACTTGGAGGAAGGCGATGTTGCCGCGGCCGAAATCCAACAGGGAAGCATGACAGTAGGGCGTACGGTATTAGCCCTCGACTGTGAGATGTGCATAACGGAAGGCGGAAAATCCGAGCTCACACGTATAAGCTTGGTCGGCTGGGACGGCGAAGTCGTACTAGATGAGCTCGTGAAGCCGCAGTTGCCCGTCATTGACTACCTTACCCGGTTCTCAGGGATCACTAAAGAGATGCTGGATCCTGTCACGACTACCTTGGCTGATATCCAGCAGAAGCTCCTCACTATCTTAACTCCGCACACTATTCTGGTCGGCCATTCACTGAATTCGGACTTGAACGCTCTCAAGCTCACTCACCCTTTTATTGTCGACACTACGTTCATTTATCCGCACCCTCGTGGGCCACCTCTCAAGTGTAGCCTGAAATGGCTTACGCAGAAGTATCTCGGAAAGGAAATTCAGAAGGGCCAAACCGGCCATGACTCCATCGAAGATGCTCGCGCCGTGCTTGAGCTGGTGAAACAAAAGTGTGAGAAGGGCGAGCGTTGGGGAACCAGTGATGCCCAGAATGAAAGCATCTTCAAGCGCCTGGCACGTTCTACGCGGTCAGGCAAACCAAACCCGACAGGGGAAGGCCGTACTGGAGCTGTGGTTGACTGGGGAAGCCCCGAGCGTGGATTCGGATCGCAGGCGACCGTCGCAATCGGGTGTAGCGATGACGAGGATGTGGTGAAAGGAATCTCATCCGTCGTAAACGGAGATGACAGAAACGCCTCGGTTCCAGGCGGCGGAGTTGATTTTACCTGGGCACGGATGCGAGAACTGGAAATGTATCGAGGCTGGTGCAATCGTATGCCAGACCCCAACAACGCGAATGAGTCCACAACACTAGCCCCTCCCCCTGAAGAAACCACGCCGACTGGCCCTCCTGCGTCCGCTCCCTCGGAGACTGCCCAGAAGAGTCTCATTGATACAGTATCTCGTACAGTCTCTCATATTCAACGTGTCTATGAGTCTCTTCCTCCATGTACTTTGTTCCTTGTGTACTCGGGTACTGGAGACCCGCGCGAAGTCAGTCGGCTACAGGCCATGCACAAGCGCTTCCGGGAAGAGTTCAATGCTAAGAAGCCATGGGACGAGCTGACAGTCAAATGGACGGATACTGAGGAACAAGCCTTAAAAAAGGCTTGTGAGAGAGCTCGAGAAGGCTGTGGCTTTATGTGTGTCAAATAGATTCTATGTCGTCTTGGTCCTGAGTTGAATATACTGTGGACTACTGATCTAGCGTAGATATCCCTGCACAGCAGGAAGTTGAAAATATACAATTAAAGAAAATAATTTTGAATAATATTGAGATATCCAGATCCCAGAAAGACCAATTTAACCCGGCCACTGCTCCGTGTACTCGTGAAGAACCGACTTTTTTATACACCATCACATAAGAAACCCAAAGGAGTTCAGGAGTTCAAGACAAAAAGGAAAACGGCGAGTGAGCGATTAAGACGGAAACAGTAAGAAAGGAGTAAATAAAATGAATAATACATGAATAGAATTTCAGTCTAGCTTCGGAATCAGCGAGCCTCCGTTTCCATGGCCTCTTCGCGCTGCATGGCTAAGCGTGCCATCGTATCGCGCGCGGCAACCTGTGCCTTTCGTCTTTCTTGCGCTTCACGCGTATTCCCATCATCAGTATAAGCACCATTTGTCTTGCCGGGCGGGTTTTCCTTCCCTGAGCCTGTCTCTGGATCAAAGGATACTGGATATTCTGCACCACGCGGGGTTTCCTGTTGACTACCCTCCGGTGTCTGTGTCTGGTCCTGCTCAGAGAAACTATTATTAAGCCCTGTTGAACGTCGGGGTGGTGGTCGCGACCGGCTGCGGATGCTTCGGGGACGACCTGGACGGGTTTCGGTTCCAGTTTGGCGTTGGCTGGGACTCGTGCTGGAGGGTGCATCCTCCTTCTGACCATTGCTACTGAGGTTGGGGTTTTGCTCACTTAATGGTGTTGGCCTCGGTGTCTGAGTCTGGGGAAAATCTGGCTTCGTGACTTGGCTTACGGATTTTCGTGGCCGCCCTGGCCTTCTTTTGTCCGGCACCATGCTGGATGGTGGCTTCTCGGGAGCCTGAGACATACGGGGGCGTTTGGACATGGTCTGTTGCTCTACGCTGGCGTGGACTTCGGGGGTACCCCATTGCGGACTTTGGTGTCTTGATTGATTGACTTCGATTCGGAAGATCGGAGATCCTAGCGCTGTTGGCTCGTTTGGCGTGTCCATCATTGCGTCGGCCTCGGGACCCTTTAACGGGATCTTGACCGGGGGCATATGTGGGTCTTCCAGGGAGAAGTTGATGCTATCTTCCTCATCGCCATCGTCGAATGAGTCGGCGATCGGTTGTGTGCGGCCACTAGGCCAGGAGTCCGGCCATGGCCGCTTCCTGCCTGCTTGGAGCAATCCCGGGCTGCGGACTTCTGGGAGCGGGTTGGGTACCGCTAGGGTCGAGGGTAGCTGCTGCTGTCTTGCGTTCTCTTCTTCCATGTAGCGGTTTTTGAGTTTCAATGCCTCGATTTCTAGTTTTAGCTTTTCGATCTCTTCTGACTTGGATTTTAGCTCCTTCAGGACTGTGGTGATCATGTTGAAGTCGCTGTTCACGGTGTTTCCTAGATCGGAGAACCGACCGGGGCCGTTCAGTTCGATACGGAGCGCTGTGAATGCACCTTTCAGCTCGGACATGGTGTCGTGCAGGTTGCTCACGGAACTTGAGATATGGTCGAGGCTCAGTCCATGGTGCTGGATCTGTTGCTCCACGGATGCGGTGTAATGGTCCATCTCGGATGAACCGACCGGGACCAAGGCTCCGGGCTGGATGGATGTCCTGTCTCGCCGGGTCGATTCTTTCTGAGGCGGGTTGATCAGGCGCTCGAGTAATCCATCTTTAAAAGAAGGTTCTACCGTGCGCATGGTTACGATTTCCCGGAACGAGACCTTTGATAGCTTCCAGAAGACATTAGGACTTGGCATCGTTAGTCCCCATGCATGCGCCGATGATCCTCTTGTTCATTCGGTGTTGTTCCGACTTACCCATTATCTAGCGAACACAACACGCCTAATTTCTGCTGGCAGAGCTTGCAGGCGATCTCTTGCAGGATACGTCCACGGAGTATACTCAGGTCTGATGATTGCGGTATTTGTTTCTTTTCTGGTGAGATTGAGATGCGGTGAAGTTCGACGCTCAGCCATCCTGCTGCGACGGAATAAGAGTTGGAAAGCTTGGCCCATTCATTCTCCAGAGCGGCCAGGGAGCTCGAACAGCGCAAACACTGGCACAGGATGGCCGGACGGGCCAATTTCGATAAATCCATGGTGAAAAGGTATCCCAAAACCCGCGAAATGGCGTCCGATGTGCCGTACGCCACCTGCAGAAGGGTTGGAGGGACTAGTATGCGAGGACGTTGAAAGCCTCTCCCACGCTGCAAAAGTCCAGAGGGATCTCGACTGCTTACTCAGCCACTCCCGGGACACGTCGGCGGGTCGCCTATTCCTATTTGGGCTATCGATAAGAACCGCACGCGTTTTTAAGTGTCGTCATTCTAAACCGCCTATTACTCCATTCATTACCCCGGCATGTTGTCCGACCTCGTACTGGTTTTACCGTATGGGTCCGTACGCGGTAAGTTTTCCGATGGCCCCCGCAATGCGCTGCAGCCTGTGTCTCGGAATGCCTCCATTCGGTAAAAGAACAACCATGCAGGTACCGAGTCATTCTTGCGCCCCTCCTTTATTGTATGCTTTGTGGATTGCCAGCGATAAGCGGACTTGATGAAGCCATTCTTTCGCCCACTCATTCGACCACCACCTTTGCCTCGGTCAGCATTGTCTCTTCAAAGGGTCGCATACGGTCAAAGATTCATTATGGCGAGCCTATCGACAGCTTCAAATAATAAGGCCAATACCTGGCAAGGTGTTGGGGCGGCGGAGTTTGACCTGAGGAGTAAGACTATGTCAATTATATATCTTTGTAAAATATGCTAAAATATAGTGAACCCAAGGCGACACAATGACCAAACCGACCATGTCCATGCTCGAAGCGATCACTCAAACCACGCTCCTTGACGATGTCTTCAATGAGGACCCGGTGACCAATGACCTCCAGGCCTATGTGGCCCAACGCACCAACCATGAAGATGCATTGCTCGTCATGTCCGGAACAATGGGTAACCAGGTTGCGATTCGAACTCACCTCGTGCAGCCGCCTTACTCCGTGATATGCGATCGCCGTTCGCATATCGTCTGCTACGAGGCGGGAGGAGTCAGTTCGCTGACCGGTGCGACGGTCCAACCCCTCGATCCCAAGAATGGCCGCTATCTCACCTTAGAAGATATCCAGAAATATGCGGTGCTTGACGACGACATCCACCATTGTCCCACGAAGCTGATCAGCCTGGAAAACACCTTAGACGGCGGCGTCCTGCCGCTCGCGGAGGCTCGTAGAATTACGGAATGGGCGCATGCGAACGGAATCAAGGTGCATTTGGACGGGGCGAGGCTCTGGGAAGCGGTGGTGTCCGGGGCCGGTAGCTTACCGGAGTACGCTAGTTTGTTTGACAGTGTGAGCTTGTGTTTCTCTAAGGGGCTCGGGGCGCCTATTGGTAGTATTATTGTTGGGTCCAGGGAGTTTATCAAGAAAGCTAGATGGTTCCGCAAAGCTATTGGAGGTGGAGTCCGGCAAGCAGGGGTACTCACTGCAGTTGCCCGGGTTGCTCTCGACGAGAACTTTGGCACGGACCCTCATGGCCAGGGAGGTAAGCTCCGGGAAGCACATATTAAGGCAAGGAAAGTCGCTGAGATGTGGCAACGCCTCGGCGGCAAGCTGTCTCAGCCAGTAGAGACTAACATGGTGTGGCTGGACCTTGACGCGGCCGGGCTGGGGCCCAATGACTTGGGGGAGATAGGGAAGGAAAAGGGGCTGAAGCTGTTGGGCAATCGGATTGTCATTCACTACCGTACGTACCCCTCATTCTACGGGTTGTTTGGGATTATCCTTGCAGCGGACACTAACTCGATCCCAGAGGTATCGGACGAAGCGATTGCGCGTCTGGGCGAAGTGTTTGGATTGGCTATGAGTGGGAGCTATCAACGTAGCACGGATCAAAGCCTACCCTACGGTAGCAGGTGAAAGCCCTAAGATTTCGAATGTATTGATCTCAACGGGTAGTACATAAGTGAAGAGTATACTAGTATATAGCTGATTTCCTCTTGCGGGCATGCACTCCTTTAAGAGGGGTGATGCGATTAGTAATCGCATTTCGATCTACATTCTGCTAACTACTACTAGTTACTCGAGTAGTTATCCATGAAAATAAGACGTCTCAAAAAGATGTGAAATTACGGTTTTATACCGATTTGTTATTTGGACGGGACATGAATCAATCTTAAAATAGAATTCATAGGCTTAACAAAAATACCATAGTTAGTATAGTACATACTACGGAGTATATACTCCGTAGCCTGGATGCACCAAGATTTGATCGACAAGGAGATATGCCCTACAAACTATATATACTACGGCCCAACCCAGAGTGCAAGTTTTAACAACGTAATGTTCTCGGTCTTTCTTCTTAGAAAGACCCATGGAGAATTTTTTTTTATAAATGAAGGGGGATATCGTGATTTCTGTAGCATTATAATTCTAAACAATCATTGACTGCACGACTCGAGACCCGTGAGTTCTCCAACAGTAGCGTTATTTGATAGGCTATCCTGGATGGATTATACATGCAGCTAGTACGACCATCTCATATAGTGCACTTTCGTTAATCATTTCTAAGCATAAACCTCGCGCAGTCCATCCATCCAGAAAGTAAAGAATGGGGTGATGCCATCCTCGCGGTAGTTGAGGAGAGCAACCATGCCGTCGTTATTGATACTCGCTCCAGTATAAAACTCGAAGCTTGAGATATTATTGAGGATTTTAGTCGCATACTGGGATGCGTTCCGTTCAAACGCTTCAACCCTGGCGGGATCTGTTGCTTGAAGATGGCTCTTGATTCTATATATGTAGCCTATGGCGCCGTTAGTAGTTTGCAGCAGCACTGATAACGGGGGCATACCGCTTAAGTGAGCTCTATACGACTTCTTGTCGAAGGCGGCTGGTATTAGGTTAAACGCATGCACAACATTATTGACTTTGGCGACGTTATCGTCCACTTCCTCGGCGGAAGGATCAGAGCTAATATCTGAACTCTGCGTTAAAAGGTTTGTTCATAAGGATGAGAGAGTGAATACGCACCAACATCATGGCCTTGCGAGATCTCTATAAATTTGCAGTCTACTTCATAGACAGCATCGTCTACTACTTTTATAGGGAAAGCGTCCGAGAGCATCTCGTCACCAGAGATGACATCCTCCACGTTATTGGTCAGTGGGTCTTCAAGATTCAAACATGTGAACTTACAGTATAGATACGCATAATGGACACAGCGTAGACAGTGTCGATGAGAATGGCAACGGGAATATGGGAATGGTATTGTTCGGTGATTGGCAAAGTAAAGCACGCACTATCCAAGAACTGAGAAAAAGAAGTAAAGTAGAAGAGATGGGGAGATGCTGGGATTTTGACCATCGGCACCCCTCATCTCAAATCTGCAAGATCGGCGCTCAGATCAGATAGTATCCAATTAGGGCAGAGTCTCGATCTGCATGGTCTCCATCAAGGCTAGCCCAGGCTGCCCAGCATCAACCTTGAACTACTCCGTGGATCGGACTAACATGAGTCATATAATTGAATCTCAGCTGCCTTATCTCTTTGTACGAAACACAAACGACCACCTGCCCCAAATTTGATTTTATACAGAATATGACATCCATCTGTTCAGCCCTCACGGGCGTACAGGTTGACGCCTACTTTGAGCGCATCCAATTACCGGGATCATACCGTCGCGATCAGAGCCCCACATTGGATCTCCCGTTCCTGTCTAGGCTTCAAGCATATCACGTTTCAGCAATCCCTTACGAAAACCTGTCCCTTCATTATGCGAAGGACACGAAAGTTTCGCTAGATGTGGTAGAACTGCACAAAAAGCTTGTCCAGAGACATCGCGGTGGTTACTGCATGGAAAACAATATATTGTTTCACCATGTCCTTCTATTTTTGGGATTTGATGTCTACCTTACTGGTGCACGGCTCTTTCGAGCTGGGGATGGGAAATCAGCGGGTTGGAGCGGCTGGTGAGTACTTGAATATTACTTGTATCTGGGTACATGTTGATAGGTTTTAAGGGAGCATTCCGTGAATATCGTCACCCTCGACCAGCAAAGATACCTGGTCGACGTGGGATATGGAGGCAATGGCCCCAGATCTCCTTTACCATTGGTCGATGGCTCTATTCATGAGAATATTGGAACCCAGACTATGCGGTTGGTATACGAACCTCTACCTGGGTCACGTCAATGCCAGTGGAATTATCAGACCCGCAATGCAGAAGACCAGCTGTGGATACATAATTACGCTTTCACAGAGATGGAATTCTTCCAGCGTGATTTCGAGGTAATGAGTTTCTTTACCAGTTGTCACTCGGACTGCTTTCTCACGTCACATTTGCTTGTGGTCAAGTATCTTCGTGACGGGGATGAGGTGTATGGGAAAATTGTCTTGGATGGCGACAAGATTAAGAAGAATGAAGGTGGGAAGAACGTGCTGGTCCAAACGTGCATGGGCGAGAGGGAACGAGTCGAGGCTTTGAGGGATCGGTTTGGAATTGAGTTGACCGAGGATGAACAGAAAGGAATCCAAGGACGGGTGTCGGCACTGGCGATGAGCCATAGTTAAAGATATCTAGGTTATCAGTAGATGTAGATATAGATATAGATGTAGTAGTGTGAAGATAGATGTAGAATGTTATATATTTCAATAGAGCATGATGCCTGAATGTATATTGATTCAAATCCCTGCATTAATTCCTAGACAAACAGTGGTATGCTAATAAAAAGCGCAACCTAAGTTTCCACAGATGTAATCGATATGTGATAGTGAATCATATCTCGGGTTGATAGATCCAAAATCCCCACTTCGGCATCCACGGTTGGTTCCCGCCTAATATCCCCACCGTACATCCCTATTGGCTGGAAAGGTTCTGTCCGCCTCAGGCAGTTCAGGCCTTGGTGCCTGGGCAGCCTGGGGCGTCTTCCGCCTTTCAAATAAATTGCGGGATATTCACTTCAGCCTCACTGCATGTTTCGTGGACGACGACTCTACCAAGACAGTATCCTGTCGCGTCCCTGTTGCCGGATCGCCCCATTAAACTAAGGCCATTGTCGCAGTCACGCCCTGGATTGTGCAGTGGATGGTGGATGGGGACTTCGCCAACTGTGTAAGTTTTCGAGTCCTGTCGCTCCTCGTTAATCAAGAGCTCCCGACTAATGCCATCAACTGTTTCACAGACATAGCCCGTTCCCTCCTTTTAAACCATAGCTCGAACTCCCATTTGTCATTCCTTTCTTCAATGAATCCGGCCCACGACATCGTGTGCGAGCTTGCTTGTGATTGACTGTTTGGCCGGCAAGGTCGGGGTCTCCCTGCCTACGAATTTACCTTCCCAATACTCGTTGTCATCGAGGCACTACGCGTTGTAGGAATATAATTTTACCTCAAAAGCTTGGTGGATTTTTCTGGTGCCTTTTGGCTCAGTACAGGCAACTCCTGTTCCTAGTATCAAGTCCGTGCACATAGTTCAACACTCCCAGTGAAAAGCTAGGGGTCCATTGAAGCGCACCTGTCATTGGTGTTCATTCTTCGTTGGTTTTGCATAAGGTAAGGAGCCTTCGGATTCTTCCAACAGTCAAGACCATCTTATTGAACACATTGTGAGGCCTGGAAAACTAACCCCCAATAGGTTCATGGTATGGAGCCGTGTTAGTGATTGTATTGGTTATGCAAACATCTCTTCATATTCACACATCAACACATATACCTTAAGTTATCTTGTGATAGTAGTTATTTCTTTCTTCTTTTGCAGCGACTTCTCGCCAGATTTTATCGCCTCCCACTCCAAATGGAAGCGACTCAAGAATCCACCCAGCCATGTACGGACCCCCGCCGCATGGGCTACAACAACTCTGGTCTCCATGAGCAGGACGTGGCGGACATAATATGTATATTGCATCCTAGTTCGCCTGCTGCCCACCATGCGGTGGCCGCCTCTGCTGGTTCTGCGCCCCAGCATATCCTTCAGCGAGATGAACTCGTGTACGAAACTTCAGCAGCTTTGGACATTGGGCTTAGGCTGTCATCGAAAGTGCATGATTTGAACACTGGCTTTTGCTTTGGACGCAACAGAACTCGTTGCGATCTTCTCCTTGCCCGTGACCAGAATTCAAAACGCATCTCAAATCAGCACTTCCGTATCTACCTCACCGAAGACGGAATCATTATGCTCGAGGATATTTCCACCAATGGCACCATTGTAGACAACTGCCGTCTTCGCAAGAGCCAAAGAGAGAATAGTCGAATGCTGACCAACGGCTCTGTCATTCAAGTGATGAATGGCGACCAAACCTCAGATGAAGTTAGGTTCGTCGTCCGCATTCCAAACCGAGAAGGGTTCTCTATGCAATATACGGAGAACCTGCTACGCTATTTTGAGCGGATACAGAAACACCGGGCAGGAACCACACAGGTCAAGCCACGTCAAACCTCGGCACAGCCTGTTTTGCAGTGGACGGTTTCTAATACCTACGGGATGCACTGGACAGGCGGGCCTATGTACAATGTCACCGGCCAGATAGGGAAAGGAGCCTTTGCAACGGTGTATAAACTTGCCACAAAGCAGCATGGGGCTGTGTATGCAGCGAAGGAGCTTGACAAGCGACGTTTCATGAAGAACGGGGTCTTGGACCAGAAAGTGGATAATGAAATGAGGATTATGAAGGACCTCAAGCATGTAAGTGATAATACCCCTTTATCCAGGCACAGGATGATCGTTTGACTGATACTTTTCTTGACAGCCTAATATTGTTCAATATATTGACCATCACGAGCATGATCGATGGATCTACATCATCATGGAGTACGTCCCTGGTGGCGAGCTGTCGACATACCTGCAATCTATTGGCAAGATTCCCGAAGACATGGTCAAAACGATTTCCCGCCAGGTCTTGCATGCGCTACAGTATCTCCATAAACGGAAGATCACCCACCGAGACATCAAGCCGGACAACATCCTCATTTCCTCGCTCGATCCACTAAGAGTTAAGCTGTCGGACTTTGGACTGTCCAAAGTAGTGCAGGAGGAAACCTTCCTCAAGACCTTCTGTGGCACATTGCTTTATTGCGCCCCTGAAGTTTACCCAGAGTACGATTCTTATCGTCGTGGTGACGTCAGGAAAAGGCGCCGATTAGGTGATCCGTAAGTTGCCCTAGTGATATTTCTTAATCGAACGCACACTGATAGTCAGACCCCCCAAAACTTCTCCGTACAGCCAATCCGTCGACATGTGGTCCCTGGGCGCGGTCCTCTACCACATCCTTGCTGGCATTCCTCCGTTTATGGGCCGGGGCGATGACAGAGGAGCTCAGATGCTACGAACGATCATGACCACCGATCCCGATGTTGATATTCTGCGCAATGAAGGCGTGTCAGAAGAGGGTATTGATTTTGTTACCCGACTTTTAAACCGCGATCCTCAGGCCCGTCCGACAGAACGTGAATGCTTTCAGCATCTATGGATTGCTAAGGTTGAAGATGTGGATGAGTACGAGGATGACGAAGTATATGCCAATGTCCGGGGTGACCTTTCGGACATCGGTGAGGATGCGGAAGAGGAATTGGATGCGTCTCAGCTTTCAATACACGACGAATCAGAACCCAAAGACCCGGCCGAGCAAGAGGATAGCGATTTGGCGCAATCCAAGCGGCCGAGGATTGATTGTCCCCCCACGGACGTTCGTTACCCATCTCTGCCCCATATTGAAAGTTTGAAAGAAATCCAAGTTGCTGCTGATACAACACCAAAACGCCTCTTCGGTGAAATCACACCGTCTGTGTTAGGAAGCTCGGATGCGCTGGGTGCTAATGGAAATGCGTTCGAGGGAGACAACTTCAGCATAAATGACTTCATTTCTTCAGCCGGTGAGTCGATGGTCAGCGACGGCAACAGCCTTAACTCCATCCTTTCCCTTCCGGAGGACCCTCTTTGTGGATCCGCACCAAGCTTAATGGGAGCTGAGAACCTTGTTGGGCAGCTGAACATGAATTCGTGGCACCCTGGCACATCAACCAATCCGCCAGTCGTCGAGATACCGGTACGGCAAACTGGAGCGAAGGTGGAGGACTCTGCAGAGAAAAAGGAGGCGAAGACAAAGCAGCGAACCAGCCCTGGTAACGAAACCCCTAAACCGGCCATCTTCAGCCGACGGATTGAATTACCCATGCCTGATACCGCCAGTGAACGCTCGACCCCCGAGAGTATCGCGCAACGTGCTAAGGACGAACGCCACGAAACCAAATCTATCCCAGGGGAGATTTTCGACATCGAGCTGGCAAATACCATTGATGCTAAGACCGGGCAGCCAATTTTAGACTATCCAGAAAGAACAGGCGGTGATGCTCCAGCCGATCCAGCACCTACTATGAATCCCAAAATTGTGCTCCAGCCAACTAAACCTCCGACACTCCTGGGCAAGTTGACAACGCTTCCTGGGTCGATTTTCGAATTGACGATCCCTTTGGAAGATCGAATGACGTCGTGGGGCCGGGGTCCTCAAGCGACCGTCTGCTACCCCGACCCTATGGATACGAGAATCCCAGCATATGCGTTGGAGGTCACCTTTTGGGCCCCTGCCATTGAGTCCAAGATAAGGGCGGGGTTGGATTGGCTGTCTGCACCTGGTGTTATGGCAATACTCTCAACTAAGACTCGCAAGTGTATTTGGGTGAACGATACGGAGCTGCGTCGAGGGCCGGAGGGGGATAGCAGTCGGGAAGGGTTTCATTTTGGCAAGATATACACGGGGGATATTATCACGATCTATCAGCATCGCCACAAATTTCTAAAGTTTCGATGTGAGTTCTATCATGGGGATAGTGCGTGTACCCGACCGGAGAATGAGAAGGGGTTCACCGTGCGCAAGGTCCTGGTGCCCAAGGACGCGGCTGCGAACCAGATTCCTGCGCGGAAGGACCGCAATGACAAGAAGTAATGCAGGATTTGTTTAATACATATAGACGATATGGATGGGCGGTAATGTTGGATAGCATTTAGGGCTTGATGGATATTTATTTGCACATGATTCTTGTTTACTTTCTGGAGTTGGTGGTTGGCATCTCTACTCCCGCTGTTGGGATACATCGTTATGGAGGTATGGATTGGAGGATTGGGTATATCCACGACATCACGTCAGCAGGCTTGGAACCGGAATAAGGCAATGGAACAACAAATTTCATAAAAAAAAAAAAAGGAATACGAAAAAAAGCACATATATATCATCGCAAAAGCTTTCTCTAGGTAGAACGGTCATCGGATGTGATTGGCATGAGGATATAGTACAATCTAGGTATGAGCAGTATAATTACATTTGCTTGCTACTAGTTTCTGTGAAAGGTACACTACGTAGTAGATTGAACGGAGTAGTTTGTCACATCATCTCCCCAAGCGAATTTAGTGTGAGATTTTAGGGCATACGTATATTACTTCGAACGTAGCATTGCATTAGTGTCCATGATAGCGGCTTTTTAGCTTCCAGCGGTAGACAGACCGAGATCTTACTAGAGAATTAGTGTACAGCACTAACTCCAATCAATCCAATCCCTTATCTCTCTCCTCTTCCATGATCTCTCAGGGTATTTTGGCATATACAAGGCATTCGACGTGAGTTCAAGTAATAACCTACGATCAATCCTGGGTTTTGGTTGACCTTCAGATAGGCACTTGCTCTTATCATTGAGAAACCAACACCATAGCTTCTTCAGAATGGTCAGCAGCCTTTCCTCCATCCCAGCATGCAAACGCTATCTGTCCGTTGATCAACATTAACATTGAAGTCAAGGCCAAGGCGCAATGAATGGCTTTGTTTCAACCTCACCGGCATTGCGCAAAACATCCTCAGAGGCAGTCCATATTTCGGATAAGGTATATTTAAGCCTATCCTAAGATGAGCGTCTGTGTGCTTTAGTAGACGAAGCATTTCTGTCCTCTACATCGTTGTGCTCAGACAGCAAGCCAGGGTCCAATGTATGCTTCATCGAGGTACCTAGCCAGCTCCCCGAATACTGGTACTTCGTTACACTTACGTCTCGGCTGATTATCATGAACATTGGATTCCCACCAGCCTCCAAGCCTCATCACCGCCAAGTAGGCATCCTCACCCTGAGTCAGGTCGCATTCAGCAAATCCGACATTCGGAAACACGATACCGATTCTCAGCCCGCCACATCCATCGGCGAAGTGTACAATTCCCTGCTCCAGGAAATGACGACCCTGCGCGGACCAGAGAGCGACCTCGACTGGTGCAATGGACATGTCACGACGTCCAGATTATATGTGGGGCCCAAAGGCCGATTACTACTCCTACCTGTTGTATGTTTGGTTTCATCCGGGCTTGACATGGATATGTGCTGACTGTTTGTAACCCCAGGGCCCGGATTCTGGCGGTGGATATGTGGGTTACTAGGTTTCGGCCGGATGCTATAAGTCGGGAGGCTGGTTTACGTTACCGATGGGTTCTGGGGAATGGTGGCGGTCGGGATGAATGGGTTCTTGTTGGGTTTTTGGACGACGCCGACGCCGAGGATGAAGTTGAGGGGTCTTGGGCTGGACCTGGATTCGAATGGAATGTGAGGTGATGACGACGTAGTTATATGTCTATTAGTGAATGTAGATATGCCTGTCTGTCAGTATCTATTTGGGTATACTGTCAATCTGGAAGCTATATGCAGCTGTGTCTCATTAGGGTTTGTCGGAGGCATGTATGTATACTTGAAAGCTAAGGGATAAAAATAGGTTGTGCATCACCGAGTCATGTAGCAATGCTATCTAGAGTGATTAAGTAGTTATTCGTCGTTGACTCTCAATATCTTCTCCTGAGCGTTATTTGACCTTGCAGTGGTGGAGCTATGATGTACAATACTCAGTGCCCGTATTCAAAACTAATAATCACTGAAGACAGGACGCGTATTATCGTTGTCGTGATCGGGATGAGGTGATTCCAGACCCCGATGACCTTGGTTTTGAGGAATGTACGGAGTACTAGTTCAGAGGAGATCGGGAGTTCTGGGCCTTGGCTGTGGCCGGTTGCATGCAAGTCCAGTCCTGTACTAATGATGGGGAATACGCAAGTACATACATGGTCGGTACAGAGTCCTGAGGACTATGTATTATATACTGACTAGTTACTGTACCAAGTCCCTGCCAAGAAAGACCAACTGGTGGGGTGACATGCGGATCCAGTGACCAAAGCGAAATGAAGATAATTTCTCGTTCTCTCCACCACCAAACCACATTGGCCCGTTCAGACGCTGTCAATTTCAATTTAATTTGCTTGTCCTCTGCGGATAGCGATGTTGCAGTCGTCAAAGAGGAGAAGTGAAACCTATCTCCAACTTCATTTCCCATGGATGGGGAGGTAGCGCTCGTCCTCTTCTTGTCTCCTGCTCCATCCGGCGGATGATGTCCTGACTCGAGTTGTTCACCTTGTTCCTAGTTATCAACGCTTGGGTCCGTCCAGTTACCCAGGAACTGCCCGTTCAGGCGGTCCTTTTGTTGGTTCCCTTTCGTTCAGTTCCACTGGATTGAATCTTCATTTGTCCATTGGACGGAAACGGGTCATTCTGTTCACGGATCCTTTTTCCTTTCTTTTTTTATTTTTTACTTTCATTTACTTTTATCGCTTTTTCTCTGTATAATTTCGGATCCGTGAGATAGGGTACCACTTGGCGATACGAACGCCCCCGTTGTCAACTATTCCTATTCCGTCTTTTTTGATCCAAACTCAACTTTGGGGTCTCACTTTTCCGACTTGCTGTTTTCCCTCTTGTCTGAACGGCTTTCTATTTGATCTCAGTGCCACACCTCATTCGGTTTTTCTCTTCATCTTCGAGTTCTCAGCCTCTCGAAGAGTCGCGTCCTGGTGACGCTCCCTCAACATCCCTTCCGCGATATCATTCGACGTCGTCGAATGTGAACCTCACCACCACAATTGCTCATTGATCCGGTCGCTTCACGGGCAATCGTGCCCGTGCGCCTTTGTCTCTTCTTCCCGACATCCCCGTGAACTCAAAATCCCCGCTCATGTCCCTTTCTCGGTCACCCTCACCCCACCCGGCGGGCGGAGGGTGGTCCAGTCCAGGCCTCACGACAGGCAGTGGCAGTTCGACACCACACAGTGGCTTGTTGTCGCCGAACCCGTTAGGTCCTAGTGGGATCTCGTGGGCCGCCGCCAAAGCGAAGAGCGACGAGGTTCGAGGTTATCCGTCTTTTTCTACGAGGAATAATGGCTTCTTTTCCCGGTCGAAGCGTCGCATCTCCGCCACCCTGCCGATTTTCCGTGTAAACTCCAGGTCGCCGAATGGCTATATTGATAAAGACGACTTCGGACGCGGCCGACCATTCTCACCGGGGGGAGGTTGGCGTTCCTGTGGATTCGGCAGAACCATGCTGCGCCGTAGACGACTACGATTGTTGATTGCCCTGGTTCTGGTCCTGGTTGGATATCTGGTCTTTTGGACATGTAAGTTGGTCCTGGCGAGCTTTGTGAGGATATTGCACGGACTGACTCGTTTCTGTAGCTTTTATTGAGCGCTATCGACGATCCTCGTTTGGCGGCGGAAGCAAATTTGTAATCATACTCGAATCGAATATAGAGGGCGGAGTGATGGAATTGAAGGGAGCCCGCGAGTGGGCAGTGGAGCGCAACAGCATCCGAAATAAGCAGGAATATGCAAGACAGTGGGGATACGAGTTGGAAGTGGTGAACATGTTGGCCAAGAAGCGGTATTCGCATGAATGGCGCGAAAGCTGGGAGAAGGTCGACATTATTCGGGAGACCATGCGCAAGTATCCCCACGCGGAATGGTATGTTCTACCGCTATTGTGTACCCTAGGTGCTGGCTGACCGTTGTTCCTAGGTTTTGGTGGGTGGACCTCAATACGTGGATCGTAGAGTACTCCTACTCCCTGCAAGACCACATTTTCAACCGCCTGGGCGAGATTTCGTACCGGGATATCAATGTCTACAATCCGTTGAATATCAGCCACCCGCCGACGGAAGCGTATCTTGATGACGTTTCGCGCTCACCGGTGGGTGACGGAGACCCATCATCAATTCAGATGGTGCTATCGCAAGACTGCAGTGGTTTTAGTTTGGGTTCGTTCTTCATGCGACGCTCGGTGTGGTCGGAGCGTCTACTAGATATTTGGTGGGATCCCGTCATGTATGAACAGAAACATATGGAGTGGGAGCACAAGGAACAGGACGCCCTGGAATACTTGTATACGAATGAGCCGTGGATCCGCAGCCATGTTGGGTTCCTGCCTCAGCGGTATATGAACTCGTATCCACCTGGCGCCTGCGGGGACGGGGGCGATCCAGATATCCACTTCGTTGAAGGCGCAGGTGACTTTATGGTGAATTTGGCCGGCTGTGGGTTTGGTCGCGACTGCTGGTCAGAGATTTGGGAGTATCGCCGTATCGGCGAGGCGATCAACCGGCCATGGCGGGAGCGCGTAGAAGACAAGGCGACAGAACTCTACGAGAAGTTCTTTGGGCGGCAAGATGATACGCCGCAATCATAAAGTCCTACTGTTACACCACGTAAATGACTCGTGCATGATCGTTCATGGATGATCTTTGGCTCGCTGTACATGTCGCCATGTGGGTGACTCCATGACCGTATTGTACTTGCTGTGGGACTATTCTGACGATATTTCGGCGTATTTGGACGACATGCTTCTGCTACACATGGCTTGCATTTGTTGGATGTACTGTACACTGCCCCAGACGGGCTATCATTGATTGGCAAGCGTTTCTTTACTTACGAGATAATTATGGCTATAGACAGATGAATCTTAATCATTTTGAGCATACTTTTCCTCCTCACCGTCAATGCAACTAAAATGTAAACCAAAGCAAAGCATGGATGTATGTCATCACGTGACTTGTCCTATTCTGCATAAAAGTCTCCTACACCGCGCCGTAGCAGTACAACTAGGCTCCCAGACCGCCCGTGCCATCCACCAATCACCACCGCCCAATTGCACATAACTCCGGAACCCCGACGACATCAGAAAAGGCACATCCATCTCTCGAATCCGAGATCACCACTTCGCAACGCCCTCCCCGCGTCTCTAACCCCGGCCAAACCTCCCATCCCCGAAGGATCCAAATCCCCCCAAAACCGAAAAAAAAATCCCCCGCCAAAATGCCTACCCCCGAATCCGCCGCCTTCCTCGCCAAGAAGCCCACCGTGCCCCCGACCTACGAGGGCGTCGACTTCGAAGACAACGTCGCCGTCCACAACGCCCGTGACGCCATTATCCGTGAGCAATGGGTCCGCAGCATGATGTCTCGTCTCGTCGGTGAAGAATTGGGAAAGTGCTATGCGCGCGAGGGCGTCAACCATCTGGAGAAGTGTGGGGCTTTGAGAGGTTGGTTTTCTTTCTTTTCTTCTTTCTTGCTTTCTGGCTGGTTTTGTAGGTGTGGCTGTGAGAGGTTGTGGCCTGAGTGTATTGATTTGAATTGGGTGTTTATTCTGGAATTGAGATGGGCAATTGGTGGTTTTGGCTCAAGCAAACTTGCTAGGGAGAATTGCAATGCGGTCGTTGATTCTGGGTCTGAATCTATGCTAATAAAAGCCCTACAGAGAAGTACTTTGAGCTGCTGAAGGAGCGCAAGATTAAGGGTTATCTGTTCCAGGAGAAGAACTATTTCGAGAAGAGTGCTTAAGCTGGATTTGGTTCGATGGATTGCATATGGTTTGAATGGAATGGAATTCAATTGAATTGAATCGTGTATTGCATGGGATTCTTTTTTCTTTTCTTTGTTAGGGTTGTTGTTGTTTTTAGATCAATTGTATCATTTTTTACCCTTTTCTCCGTCTCGCTTTGATTGGGTTGGGTTTGGGGATTTATGGGTGAGGGAGGTTGAAGTTGGAGGCTATGTTGGGTTATAGCCTAGGTTTATGGGATGATAAAATGGTTTCTTTGGCTCAAGTCTTTCATGTGGTTGCTTTTTTGACTACACGAGCTTCGACTATGTGCTCATGTACACACCTATACATCATGTTTTCTGCTTATAGAACAGTCGCAGGGTATCAGTAATAAGCACTATCAGTCCGTTCAGGAACCGTGCTCGGCGTATCTCTCGCCAGACCAGATTCCTCCTCACTATCATCCACATCATTGCCAGGTCCAAACTCGTCCTCCACCGGCGGTGCACGCATCCGCACCAATTCCTCCTCGTCCAAAGCCTGCAGCCTATAAGCTCCGGGAGCAGAATGAATGTCTCGACCAGACGGCAAGTTCGCCACGAGATCCGCCGACGGCGGAATCAGCTGCGTATTGATCTAAATACTTCCCGTTAGCAAAGAGCCCTTAACACTATACCCGCAAGCAGAGACGCAAGAACTAAACCCACCGTATCATTCATCCTCACCCACTTCGTCTCCAACATCTCAATAACCCTCCCTTCCTCCTCCCGCCCAGCGTTATCCCCAGGCCCCAACTCGCCCTTCTCCATCTTGCCCGCATCCTTCTCCATCTTCCGCTCCTCCCTCCGTTCCATCCACCCCTGCTTCAGCCTCGAAAACCCCCTACTCTTCCCTACAGTCTCCTGTTTCTCCCCCCTGACCCCCAGTGCCGTCTTCGCAGCCCGCAACCACGCAATCCCCTCCCCAATTTTCCCCGCCAGCTCGGCATCAACCCCGAAAAACCGGCACGCCCGCGCGCGCGCAACCCTCCCCAGCACACGCGCATACTTGATCAAATCCTCCTCGACACTGGCGCGGCCCTGCGCACCAACAGCCCCCAGCCCGGCAGCCGCCTGCTCCGCGTACTCGGCCGCGCGAATGCACAGTCTGGCAAACAGATGTGCGCGCACCTTGGGGATCTCCGGCGCGCGGACCATCCACTCCTTATCATTGGGGTTGCGGGCCTGAATGGACGCCGATACATAGGAGTCGTCCTTGAGCACGGCGAGGAGGGTAGCTTCGGCCAGCGCGAGAGAAGCCAGTGCAGCCTGCGCGGCGGGGTCGAGGTCGGGCACGATGCCCGGGGCGGCGGACACGGAGCGCGAGACATGGGCGAAGACCGGGGATGTGGCGAGGAGGGAGTGGACTGCGCTTGCCTGCAGGAGGTGCTTTGTTGCGGTTGTTATGGCGGCGGTGCGCGCTTCGGGGGTCGGCGTTGTCGCGGCGTACAGGACGCGGGTGACGGTGCTGTGGGCTATTTTACTGAGCACGTAGCCGTATGTCGTGAGCACGAAGGCGAGCTCGTATTCAAGGCCCAAGCCTTTGGGTCGCGGTTGTTTGAGGGAGAGCGAGGCGGAGGTGAGGGTCGGGCGCCATGACGGTTCGGGTTCGCTGTGTAGCGCGATTTCGATCTCTTCAGACGGCGTTTCGGGGATTCGCGTGCTGGTGAGACTGTTGGTTATGGCGGTTAGGTAGGGGAGATAATCGGTTAGCGTGGTGAGGAGGGTGGAGAGGTGGGCGTCTTGTTGCGGGCCGCGGGGTAGGCGTTTGTGTGTCTTTAGTGCGGTGCGGAGGGCGTGGCGGGCTGTTGAGGCAGCTTGGGGGAGGGACGGGTGCGTGGTAGAGGTTAGGTGCGTTTGGAAGGAGAGGTGGGAGGTTGTTGGGAGGGTGAAGGCGTAGACCATTGTGTCTGTGGTGTTTGTGGTGGTGTTGTTGTTTGAGAAATTGAGAGCTGGAGATGGAGTTCAAGTGAGGTTCGGGTGGTTTGAGCGTTGATGTCATGGCGGCCAAGACTTATTTAATGTTGGCTACGGCATGGCAAGGTTTGCTACAATGGAGCTTTCATGGTTGGTGATGTTTTGATTATTTTTAGTTTGGAGTAGCGCTGCTTTGTCTGCTCCTCACTCATTGATACTATAGCTAATGATTTTATGGCGAATTGAGTGGTATATCCCTTCACATGGCCCGCTTTCACTCTGCTAGTAGCCCCAATCTCATACCCTTGTTTGAATTGCGTCCAGGGTAGGATATATACGTCGACACGGCGGACCGCTGTATTCGAGGTCTCGGCGCGTCCATCTTCATGTCGAGAATGTTGGCCGGATGCATAGATATATTGGCCGTTAATACGGGCTGTAAGAATACCCAGTCGAGCAAGTCGGCGACCAATCGTTCCCTTGGCCATAGACAACCGTGTTGCCCAGCAGACCTTTTTGTCCTTGCTGTCTATTACCAGACAGTAGCGTGAGCATATGTATAGGAGCAAAAGAGACTCCAACGAGTCTCCAATACAATGGTCCTTCCACCATGTACCGTCCGTTGTTCGCAGACGTCAATCCTCAAGAACGAGGGAAAACATCCTCCCTAAGTCTCACTGCTTCACACGTCCATGCCCTCCCCATCTGACAAATTGCTCGGCGCACTACTAACTCCGGAAGACTCACTCTCCGCGAAATACGGCGCCCGCGACCGCACCTGCGACCCCCATTCCTGGATGCTCGGCGCACCGCCCTCAATCACAATCGGATGTTCCTCGGCATTCTTTCCCAGGACAGTTCCCGCATATCTCGACTCCTCTCCCGTCTTACTATGCTTCTTCTTCAACACCGTGAGATAATCCTCCTTCTCCAGGAAATCCGTATCTACAACGTCACCCTCGCTCGGTAGGAATCCCGCAATGCGTCGAATTTCCCGATTCGCTGGGCCCGTGAACCATCCCAGAAACCCCTCCAGTGCTCGCATATCTTCGTCGCCGTGCCAGTCTTCTTCCCACTCGCGGAGCTGTGGTCGCAGCGCGCCCGCGTCTTGTAGGGCCTGGTAGATGTCTTCCAGGGTTGGGACGGGGTTGTTTGGGTGGGCGTTGGCGGCGTGCGTGGTTGCGGATGAGGCGAGGATCATCACGTAGCGGGCTGTGAGGTCGGCGAGGGTGTCGAGGACTGACGGACGGGTTGCGTGGAAGCCAGCTGCACGGAGAATCTGGATAATGGGCGGGCGGAGCAGAGCGTTGTGTAGATTTGGACCTGACATGGTCGATTGCTTTGCTGAAAGGAAAGTGAGAGTTAATTCGTGGTGTATTTGAGTGATGCTGAGAGTTTGGGCTTCGTTGAAAGATGGGCTAATTTGTCAGATAGGAGAGAGACGAATAATGACGCAGGTTGAGTATGAGGGAAGAATTGTGTTTCTAATTCGGTGGAGTTGATGGGATGAAAGTTGAAGGAAAGGCGGAACGAAAGAGATCAGGTCAGCGCACTTCCGCCGGTCGCGTCGTCGTTTCTTTCCGCCTTTCCGCCTGCGTTTCTCTCTTCCTCCGCAACCACATTTTATATCAACCAGACGTCCCCCATCCTCAGCTTCATCCCTCACGCCACATACACGCATACGTTCATTCTATCCCCCCCGGCTTTAGCTTGGGGTCAAGCACTCCGCTTCATTCGCTGAATCTACGAACCGCCCGCCATGTCTGAGGGTCGCCCGTCGCTGAAGCTCACCTTCGGCAAGAAAAAGGCACCAGAGGAACCGCCCAAGAAACCAGCTCCTCCTCCACCATCAGACACCCCTCAACGCAAACTCACGCTAAAAATCGCACGCAAACCAGCCACAGAAGGAGAACCAGAGAAAGCGAAGAAGAAGAAGCCATCGAAAAAGCGACCAGCCGATGAACCCGCCGTCAGCGAGCCTTCTGCGTCGCGGCCCGCGCCAGAACAAGCGGCAGGCCCCAAGCGTTTGAAATTGAATCCTTCCAAGAAACCCGGCGTGCAGTCGATTCGGATTAAGAACAAGGGCCTGGTTCCCAATCGGCCAGTTGGTGTTGGATACGACTCGGAAGCATCCGATACGGAAATCGATCCTTCTATCGAGGAAGGGTTTATCCTACGTATGCTCCCTGGGGAAGAATGTGAATATCTACGACGTGCTATCGCCGAACGACGATTTGATCGCTCGGAGTTCTCGTTCAAACCGCTCACGCGCGAAGGACGACGCGCCGTATTTAGAATTCGAGACAAGCAATTTGCTGCGACTTTGGTGGATCTGCCATGTATTATTGAGGGTATGAAGAGTTGGGATCGCCGTGGATGGTACAAGTCGGGAGATATCTGTCAGATGCTGTTGGTGCTGGGCCCAGTTGCGAACGAGAAAGAAGCTTTGGAGTACCCACTCCCTCCTGAGATCGAACACGGCGATGATAAGACTTTGCAGTATCCTCATGGTCTGACGCCACCTTTGCAGTGGGTGCGCAGGCGGAGATTCCGTGAGCGAGTCAGTACTAGGACGATCGAACAGGTCGAGAAGGCTGTGGAAGATTTGATTGCACAGGATGAAGCCGCTGTGGGCATCCCTCGTTACGAGTTGGTCGATAGCGCGTCGCTGAATCGGGCCGAGGGTCTCGTGCAAAGTGGAGAATATGACGAGTACGATGACGAGCAAGATGCCGAAGGTGAATGGGATATGGGGATGGAAGAGGCCTCTGGTATCTTCGAAGACTTTGAGGACGCACTTGCTGCGGAGATGGAAGCTGCCCTGGCTGCCGATGACAATGCAGCTCCTCCCGCTGCGGCTGCGACTCCCGTGGACAGTGGGGTTTATCAAGCCGGTACACCCATGGCAACGAAGCCGTCCACACCTGCAGCGGAGTCGTCGGGCGACGAGAGCGACGAGTCTGATGGAGACGAGCGCGGTGTGCCTGAAGATGGGCTAGATGAGGAGCAGCTGGAACAGCGGCAACAAATGCAACAGCAACGCGAAGAAATTGCGGAGTTAGAAGCGCTTATCCGAACGGAGACTGCTAAGTGGGAGAAGATGCAAAACCAGATTTTGAAGAACAAGCTTGCCAGGCGCATTCAGGAACTGAAGAAGGATCTTTCTCTGAAGAAAGTGTCTATCGGAGAAGGTGACGAGGACGCTTAATCTTGTTACGTTTGACTCATACGCTTTTGTTGGATCGTTGAAACTTGATACCCCAGATAAATTAATGTTGCAAAATTGAATGACAGAGTTCGTATGCGAATTTGCCTTTTCTCTCTCATCTTCTACTCATCTTCCCTGTTATTATAATGTAGTGGGGGCTGAAATTGCTGAAATTGGGTGTACCTTATCGCGACTTAATTGACTGAAGATTAATGTCCCGTGACTAGTGCTTAGCCCTATATAAAATATGGTGAGTCACTGGTCATCCTACATAAACAAACCAACTTCACTTTCTATTCGTATCCATTGCAACTGCAACAATGGCTGAGAACATGACAGTATCTAATCAAGAACAGGACATCAATCCTTGGTCCGTCGAGGGCGCCCGGGATGAGAACGGCGATGTCGCGTCGATTGACTACGAAGCTATCTCCCGGTATGTTTACCGCGAACGCATCGTTGGCAACATACTAACCGCCGCAGAAAATGGAACACGTCCATTATAGAACAGAAGCTCCTCGAGCGTTTCGAACAGGTCACGGGGCACAAGCCGCACCGTTGGCTCCGACGCGGCCTATTCTTCAGCCACCGTGACTTCGACCGGATCCTGAACCTATACGAACGCGGCGAGCCCTTCTTCCTCTACACCGGTCGTGGTCCAAGTACCGGCAGTCTACACCTAGGACACACAATCCCTCTGCAATTCACCAAGTGGCTTCAAGACGTCTTCGACGTCCCCCTGGTATTCATGCTCACGGACGATGAGAAGGCCCTATTCAAAGACAGTCTCACCTTCGAAGAAACAATGGAATACGCCAAAGAGAATGCTCGAGACATCATTGCCATTGGGTTCGACAAGAAGAAGACCTTTATCTACAGTGATCTCAAGTACTTCAGCAACCACTTTCTGATGAACGCATGGGAGTTCTCGAAGCTCGTGACTTTCAACCAAGTCCGTGGCGCGTTCGGCTTCAATGAAAGGTATTACAGCACGCTGGACTTACCTATCTATGTTTACGCTGAAACCGGCTAACCGTGAGCTAAAACAGCACCAACATCGGCCGCATCTTCTTCCCCTCGGTTCAATGCGTAGCCGCCTTCGCGACGTCCTACCCAGAAATTTGGACGGATGACCCACAACCGACCCGCACCCAATCCATCGCCAACATCCCCTGCCTGATCCCCATGGGCATCGACCAGGACCCCTACTTCCGCTTACTACGGGATAACGCGCATAAGATGCGCTTCCCGTCGCCGAAGCCAGCGCTCATCCATTCCAAATTCCTCACTGCGCTGCAGGGCCCCGGGGGGAAGATGTCCTCGTCGAACCCCAATTCCGCTATCTTCATGTCAGATACGCCGAAACATATCAAAACGAAGATTAACAAGTATGCGTTCAGTGGTGGACAGGTTAGCATGGAAGATCATCGTCGTCTGGGGGGGAATCCGGAAGTGGATGTTTCATATATCTATCTGACTTATTTCGAGGAGGACGACGCGAAACTCGAGGAGGTTTATAAGAGTTATAAGAGTGGTGAGCTCTTGACGGGTGAGTTGAAGAAGATGGCCATTGAGGCTTTGCAGGAGTATGTATGTCACTTTCAAGAGAGAAGGGAGCTGGTTAGTGATGAGGTTCTGGAAGAGTATATGCAGCCGAGGAAGTTGGTTTGGGAGGGAAATCAGAATCCCGTTAAAGAGAATCTCTGACTGTATGGTTGGGGGTTGGATTCTTCCAGAGGGATAGATAGTCGACTGCTTACCAGAATGTCTACCAACGCTGTCCAGCTGCAGGTCAGAACCACCGGTGGTCTCGGTATACATAGACTGAGTTTATTGAATTTACATTACATCCATCATCCAACAACTTCCTCTAAGACTAATAGTACAGCAATAGACACATCCACATCCACACAGACACATACTCAATCACTCATCTAACAACCGCACCCCCGTCCCGTCCCTAACAGCACTCCCAATATCAACCTCCTTCAACTTCTTTCTCCAAGCCCTCTACCTCTCGGAACTACCATCTACATCTCATTCCGGCTCCGCAGGCGACCTCCCAACCCTCTCCCCAAGTATACCCACCATCCCCAGCAGCAGCAAAACCAGAACCAGAGGCACTAGAAGGATATCCAATCCCCAACACACTCCCCACAGGACCAGCATGAGCCCTCGCCCCGCCTGCCCACGAACACGGGCACTCTTCCCCTCGGCCTTTGCCGCGATAACCCCCTCCACAGGCTGCTACTCTACGCCGTATTGCGTGTCCACGTCGGCCGCAGAGTAAAGGTCACGTTGTTGCTGTTGGCGGGTTTGGTTAAGTTCGGAGAGGGCGTCACTGTTCGAGGGCCTGGATTATGGACCCCGGGTTATGGTTGATATATTATCGCCACAGTGGCAGATACATTTATTCTTGTTATTCCAGAGGGGTCTACGAAATGGGGTTTGGGGGTTGGAATTGAGTGGACATTTTGATTGGGAGGGATGGTTGGTTGGTTGATGAAGTTAAAGCATGTATGTATATGAATTAAGATTGGACTTATCTGTGTAGAATGGAGAATTAGGGGGCGTTGAATTGGTCGAATTGGTTATATCGAGGGCTTGGATGAGGATGTGATGTCACGGGTAGATAGGAATGAATTAGGGCTTCGTGTTGGTAGCGTCAAAACAAAGGTGGAGCTGTGTGGTGAAAGCTTATTTGCATTAAGAGTTTTAGCTTCCTTTCTCATTACTTCCGTTGATTCATTACTCGTATTAATTGCTCTAGTACTCAGCTGGCCTTTAAAACCGCACGTATTAAATCCCAGTAGATCCACTGCTGACTCGTCACCGATTGGGACTAGGCTCCACTTCAGCTTCGTGTTTGGATTCGAGGTGTAAGTACTCAGGACTAAGGCTTTCTCGCAAGCTCCCTAGCGTGAAGCTAGTAGGGCTAAAATGGGGATACGGAAATAATCTGCATCGCACATACTCAGGAGGGATGGGAATTTCTTAGACTTTTGAACTACTGGAAACCCCTTTGGTTGCAGCCCCGTTAGTTGGAAGGTAGATTCTCGCAGAATACACCGATTTTCTGAATTCAGGTGTGTTTTGAATATCAAGTAGAATTTCAAAGTAGA